TTGAACTCTAACAGAAAACTGTCACGAACCGCCCTCACGGCACTACATTTCCTTTTCGATTCGGACCACTGCCTCGTACGTTTCCTTATTGTTCACTACTCGCTATGGTTTCCCCTTGTCCGCACACGGACAATAGCTCCCTTTGTCCCCACGTCCGCTATTGTCCTACATCCCTTGTACTTCGTACCCATGGCGACGCTATTGTTCTCTAGCGCCCATTGTTCGTTCCCTGTATATAGCTGGATCCCTTGCTACCTGGAGACTCTAGTTTCGACCTCTTGTCTCCAGGTAAGCCATCGTGTATTTCGCTCTGTAGATACTTCGCTCAATACACAACTTGTCTCCAGTCCTGCCTGTTGAGCTCCGCTCCAGTCTCACTGCGATCAGAGCTCGTTGGCACTCCTGCCTGCCTCGCTCATCTCCGCTTACTCGCTCGACAGTCAGTCGTAACAAAAACAAGCCCGGAATCAGTCAATGAGTGAGGCGCTTCCATTGAGATCAGGCATTACCGTCATCAGAGCCTTGGAATCATTTCCAGTCCATTGGGAGAAATTGCACCCGTCCAGAAAACGTCGGAGACCCGGAAAGGAGGGCGCAGACGCAATGCTAGATGCGCGAGATCAGCGCATGTTCAAACCACTTGTTGGACAGTTTTGTTGAATAACTGTCTTCGGAGGACACTGTGCCTCCAGATGAAGGTGCGGCTCACCGTCGGAAACACACGTACCGCGTTCCTCCTCTTCAGCGGCCCTGCAGGGGCACACAACTGCTCGAACCCGTCCAGGCATACACCCTGTACAGAAATACGGTAAAAGCTTCTCATTGACTCACCGTTGATCAATGTTGTCCATAATTCGCTTGGCCTCAGCTTCGTTTTCGGCGGTCAGATGAATGTATTGAGTGACCCATTCCACGAGATGATCCTTGAATGTCCCCTTGATCAGCTGGTGAAGCAGATCTGGGGACAGGAGCTCGTGGATGTCGGCACAGGGAAAGCGATAAGTGAAGGGCTAAAGCGTAAACATGTAAGGACTTAGTGAGAGCGTACATGTGGGGATAATACGCACGACAATGTTCCTATCGAGACCGAAGACATCCCACAAAGTGAGTGTGTCAAATGTCTCCATAAGGCACTCCGTGTGCTCTCTGAAGCGAGGAGGACCCTCATTTTCTAAGTCTGTGGGTCGTGCGCGGCATCTAAAATATGACGGTGAGTGTTTGCGAACCTGAAGGGGGATGGTATGCAGCTAGTATACGCACTTTGGACACCACTTGGAGACCACGCCCGAAACGTACACCTGTTCCGGATAGTCAGCAATAAAGGGACCAAGCTCAAAGATAGCACGACGGTAATGCCCGTCCGGACAGCACATCACACGCGATGTCGTCATCCATGGACGTAAGGGCGCGAGGACATAGGCGAGGGCGTCATGATAGAGCTGCTTCTTAAACGTGCGGAATGCAGCACTGTCGGAGTGTTGCCGCACAGCTGATATAGGCGAAGGGATACACAATTTCAATAAGTATAGTGGGATACAGAGTGGCTCGGACTGACTTTTTGGAATAGGAAGGAATGCGATAGGTATCACGCCTTCTCCATGCGCTCGGCGCATGCTGTTACTGAGGTTTCCTGCTGAAGCATAGACCGGATGAAACTCCTGGTGTCCTGTCGCGACTGAAACTGTCGTCTTGTCTGCCCCAAGTATAAGGGGAACAAGCATAGCCCCATGCGTTGCAGGATCTTCTGCAATTTTGTCCTGTCGAGTATGGTTATTGTCAGTATACGTACGGATGAGCACATGAGGAACATGCACGTACAGCCTGCTTCCATGTGAATTGAGCGGACATGAGGTTCGAAAAGCGACGGTTGTTCTCTGACGGAAACTCCTCGAAGGGAATATAACCCTCGAAATCCGCATTTCCAGCTGTATTCACCAAGACCTGGTCGATCACACGGTAGTGAAACTCATACTCCTCGTGCATCCAGTGTGCGTCTGCGTCCATAGGGCCAGTGTAGCGGACCTTGATCGTCTTTCACTCGATCTCACCAAAGTTGATATTGTCGATAGTTTGATACATGGTGTCGGTGCTGGGGAAGAACCCATTTGATGACTCTTGACCATCTGTCTTCATGACGCGCTTCGCTGAGAGGATCCGGAGGAGTTGGTCGATATCCCCCGAGGATGAACGCATCTTCTCGAAGAGCAATTCAGCGAACTCAAAGGAGGGTCTGTCTTCAAACAGCGTGAAGTCGTGGATGTCGTCGGAGATCGGCGGTGGCATATTTGCTGCGAGGAAGTTCCCGTCCCGGTTGCAGGGACGAGCTATAGACAGTGTTAGACATGTACATGAGTAGTAGAAGACGTGAAGCCTACCATTGAGATGCGGGTGATATCGAAAGGTGCTCTTCTGCCCAACAGGTCGGGGTGGTTTGGGATGCTTGTGGGTGCGTCGGTTATGCACCGTGAACCCTCGATGCGTCTGAAAGATCGCTGGCAAATATTGCACCAGCGGGCCATCCTAGCTGTTCAAGGAATATGAATGCAGCTGTGCGAGGGATGAGGAGTTAGAGTACGGAGAGGCAGAGATAGGAGATAGGAGATGACAAGGCAGGTAGCGACATTGGGCGGCAAAAATCAGCCCACGCGTCGTCCGTTTCTTTGGAACCCTCATCTCCCCAACTCATCTTGTTCCCCGATGCCTCGCGGTGGTAGCAAGGTGGGCACTGGCGGCGGCCGTGGTCGCGATCGCGGTCGCGGTCGTGGTCGTGGTCATGCCGCCTCCGATTCTACGCCAGCTTCTGTGACATTTGAAGACCCTGCACCTCACGTCAGCTCCCCATCTCAGCAGGACCGAGAACTACTCACAAACCCTCCCTTACTGACACAATCCAATGGCCGTGAGAGTGGCCATGGGCGTGTTCATGGTCCTGAAGCCTCGTCTCCCACTCACCCGTCTTCCGAAGACTCTCCAATAGACAACCCTGGAGGCTCCAGATTCACTGAGGACACAGGCAAGCACGTCACGATATCCTCTGTAAAACTTCATGTCAATGTCATATTCTTTTTTATCAGGAGATGCAATACATACCACGCTCACAGACCCGGGCCAAACAGTCACGACGGTACGAGAAACAAAATACACATCATATATTCGACTATATCCATACCTACAACCAGCGCACTCATATGTATGGAACCCGCTCCAGCAATATCGACAGGAATCCCGGCCTCTATCCAGGTCTCCAATGGCAGCAAGACAAGACCGACGACGAAAGAAGGGTCGCTGACAGTCAAGCCAAGGTCGACGAGGCTGCGAAGCGTAAGGCCACCAGGACTGCCCAGCAACAACGAGAGGAGGCTGGCTCACGTCGCCTAGCCACTCTCGAGGATGCACGATATCTAGAAGAACGGGAAGAAGAAGCTTACCTCAAAAGAACCACAGCATCTCGCTACCAGTTGCGACGCGAAGGCGCTTCAAGCGCGCCTACAACCATTGCCGGCGCGCCTATGGAAGTTGACGACCGAGGGATTGGCCATCCCGGTTTCCAAGGTGCATCTGCAGAGTTGTATGAGGATCGAGGAGATGAGTATGAGGACAGCGGTTCTGAAGATGATGAGACGCAGGTGCGTCTATAGGAGACCACAGACCTGTGTTATGACAAACGACTCACAGGCGCTCTTCTAGCCTTCTCAAGTCCGGCGCAAGGTAAGGCGTCGCGAGGAAGTCCTTGAGAAAATATCGAGGTCCCGCCGGCTCAATGTTGAAGGGGCGCACAGTCCAAGCGTGAAGACCCCTGCCAAGCGACCCACAGAGGACGTTGAAGGGGGGAAGAGGTATGCTTCTCACCACTGCCATGTCCTCTCTACTTAAGACACCCCTTTGCGCATCTCAATAGACCGCCAATGAAGCCAGCTGTCAGCGCGTTCAATGATGATTGGTCGCCCATCTCGACACCAGCCTCACGGGCATCATCTGTCGCCCACCCACCCTCATCCTCCAACTCCTGCCCTTCGTCTGTCTCTCGTACACCCTCGCGTGCTGGCTCACAAGCTCTTAGTTTTGCAACTGGTAATTGGAAATCTGTTCTGCTGGGCACATTAGGCATGCGCGCAACGCTCCATGGGGCCGGCGGGCTCGAGGGCCAGGTCTCGCAGGGCAGCAAGACATCAAAGTCCGGAACAGTCGTTCTTGAGGAGGAGGAGATTGGTGGCTTGCAAGATGACGATATTGAGGTTGCGCCACCTACAGGTACCTCTGATTCTGTCGGCAGCTGGAGTACCTCAGTACGTCCCCTCTTCTTTCAACGGCTTCTTTTGCATCATCTCTGCATCGATGTCCTCGTGTTCTTAACCGTCACCGCACCTCTCTGCTTCTTCCTTTGCCTGCTTGGACATAGCCTCCCCTGCTCAGCTAACAAGCGCTATAGATCGTGGAGTTCCACGGTGAGGTTTCTAGCCTCACGAAATCGAAGTGCACAGCCAAGAAAGACGTGCCGGAAGATCAGTCACTCTCGGCAGACAATCTCCCTGCATGGATCAAGCCCGCGTGGCCGCAAATTTCTGCATCCCTCTGCGCGTTCTACGGTGCTGAGCAAAACCCATGGATGTTGGACCGCAATGAGCAAGACCCGGCACATATTGATAACGTATTTCAGGTACTTGTTGACGCGCTCTGCCCAGAGAAGCATTATGTTGTCGACTCCAGTGATCAAGCTTTCAAAGTTGTGAGTCTCCCTCTGCTCATTCCCGATCCAGCATGTGAGTCCAGTGTCACTGATCTAATTTCATTCCAAGGCTCGCCAGACTGTATATAACTGGCGGTGTGCCTTTGTGAACTCAGCACGCGCAGCGGTCCACCAAGCCGTCAAAGCCCATCATGGTAATCCCCGACAGGCGACAAGAGATAGTGTCGCAGCCTGGGCCAAGACCGCGAACAGTCACGGCGGGGAGGCGCACTGGGGGAAACCGGACACCCGAAAGGTATGTTGTTCTGATCATCAAGGTAGGCCATTACATCAACCACAATCCCTATAGGACGGTGAACCCTCGGGGGCCCTCCAATCGAGCTATATGCTCCAGACATTCGCTGCGCACTTACGTCGCACGGAGAAGTCCATCTTCGACAACCTCGGCCTGCCTATTGGTGCTTTAACCCTTGCATGCACAGCTGTCACAATTTTCTCGTGCCACATGACCTGAGGGTCATGTGTACTGGGACAGACGCTCACCTTGACCGCGGACGACTCGTATCAGAAAGTGGAGGGGCCAGGATCGAACCCCAGACCTCGTGACAGCCAGGAGCGCCCATCCTCACTCACAGGCAGGTGACTGATGTGACAGCAGGAGCGCTTACTCATTGGGAGGGGTCCGGACTCGGCACGACTCAGGTATTAGTCGTAAGGTCACCATGAGGCAGGTCAGAGGGTAGGACATGAGGCAGAGAACTCTGAGCAAACGATGGTCAATAGGTACCT